CCCTGTATTACACAACCCTCAAAAGACTGGTCCGAGGGACACGATCACTAAGCCCTAAACCCCTAAACCCTAAACTCTAAGCCCTAAGCCCTAAGCCCTAAACCCCAAACCCTAAACCCTGGTCCGAGGGACACGATCACTGTCTGTAGCGTCGGCGCCTTCTCTGCGGGCAGGCATCTCCTGGCCTCCACCAGACTTGCCTGGAACCAGGGCGCAAGTTTTAGGGTTTTTTGGGTTTTTAGGGTTTAGGGTTTAGGGTGTAAGGGTTTGAGGGTGAAGGGTTTAGGGTTTAAGGGTTTAGGGGTTGTTTCGGGGCTCCTGGGGTTTATGGTTCATGGTTTGTAGTTGGGATCTGACTTTGGGGGTGCGGGTTTATGGGGTGCAGGCCGTGCCATACGTTCCACGCACACCACCAAGCAGGATGCGTGTTGCGGCGTGCACTCAGGTTTCTACACTGTTCGACGCGAAAACCTTCTATGGAGATTGTGCGGTGTCCGAAACCCTATAGGGTGCAAGCTGGACGCGCAACTTTCTATATAGATACACGCTCTGTTTAACCAAGGAAACTCTTTAGCTGTGGAGATTATGCTGTGTTCGAAACCCTAGCGGGTGCAAGCTGGAAGCGCAATAATTGAAATGCACGCTCTTCCACATTAAGAAAACACTTTAGCTATCCAGGTTGTGCTGCGGCAGCAGAGAAGGTTCAGTGCTCGCCCAGCCATATGTCGGGTTCAGGGTCTTATTCGGTCTCTTGTTGGTATAGTAAACCCTACTCTGGGAAGGCCTCCTTATACCGAAAGGTCCCAAGAGAGAGGGCAACACCCCAAGCTACCTGCAGTTCAGACTCTTAGGGCCTATTCAACGTCGGTTTAGGGTTTAGGGTTTAGGGTGTAGGGTTTACGGTTTAGGGTTTAGGAATCTTTTTTTGTGACAAGAACTTGGCGAAATTCAGAGGCCCCTCTCAACCCTAAATCCTCAACCCTGAACCCTCAACCCTAAAGTCTAAATCCTAAAACCTACAAACCCCAAATCCTAAGCTATATAAACCCTGAACCTGCGACCTGCCTCGCCAACAGCCCCCAGTCTGCTACTTGTTGGTTTTTGGGGCCTGAATAATCAGAACAGGGGCTTTGAGGATGTAGTATACTATAAATGTAAGGTTGAGAGTTTATGGTAGTAAGGAACCCCCAAATAGTCTTAGTAAATAGCTAGGCCCCCTATATTACTGCAAGAGGCCTTGTGGCAGCAGCACGCAGAGGACGCTTTTGCTCGCACCGTGCACATGCGGTCCTGGCCAGGAATACTTTTACAGGGTCCGCAGTAACAGTTACTAGAAAGTCATAGGGTATAATGTCTATAGTAGAGACATAGTTACTATTATGGTTATAGAGTATAAAGTATCCCCCACATCGGTATTTAGGACCCATTGAGGCTATGATCCTGAGGTGGGAAATTGAGCAGGACCCTAAACCCTAAACCCTAAACCCCTAAACCCTAAACCCTAAACCCTAAACCCTAAATCCTAAACCCTAAACCCTAAACCCTAAACTTTGGTGGATTCCTCTACCTGCCCACCGAAGTCCAGGAGGCCCAAATCTGAGTTTTCAGAGGTTTACTTAGGGGCTGAGTACCCTAGCCCTTTAAAAAGACTGTCTGGTGCCTAGTAGAGAATGGGGGAATGGGTTATTGGGACTACTATAAGGGACCTTAAGGGACTATCATAGGGATCCGTTCCCATTAAGCACCAGACAGAAGAAGGGGTTATCCCTTTGAGTTATAGTAGGATTATATAAGCCCCGGAAGGTTAAAGGTTATTACACCCTAAACCCTAAACCCTAAACCCTAAACCCTAAACCCTAAATTAAAGGTTATTACCTACTCAGCCCCTCGGTTTAGGGTTTAGGGCTCAGGGTCTCAGGCCTCGGGTTCTGCACCCAGCAACCGACTTCCTTGCTGGTTGCCCTTTGGACGAAGCACTGGGGCCCCTTTAGGTGTTGAATGGAGCGTTGAACCCTTCAAGAAGTTCTCCAACCACCTAAGAAAACAAGCCTTCCACGCTGAAAAGCTATACGGTTTAGGATTTAGGGTTGCTTCAACACATGCCGGGTTCGACTACTGCCGATTCAGGAATTTAGGGCTAGGGTGTTTAAAGTGCTTGAGCTGTCGAATCTTGCCTATATGCTGCAATGTGGCTCCTCTTCTGCTCATCTGCGTTCTTTGTTGATAGGGCCCCGGATCTCAAGGCAAGCTATGAGGCAGAGTGTAGGCAGGATTCTTTGCTTAAGGCTTGGGTTTCACCACATTCTCCCTCCCGCTCCTCCACGAAGAGTGTATTGCGGCATTGCAGCTCGTCAAAGCGACCGGCTTCGTGAGCGTGCTCCACGAACTGGCGCACATCAGAAACATCGACCGGTCTGTTGTAGTCTTTGCCACCGGTGATGTCCTGCTTCGCACTTGGATCTTCGCTCTGAGTTACTGAGGTTCTAAGATCCTGTTTCTGCTGTTTCTAGGCTACTTAGTTCCACTCATAGAATTTCTGTCGAGTCAACATTTTTTTTAAACATAAGGATTGCAATGCCGATGGCTAAAGGAAGTTGCGATATTGACAACAATAGACAACGGTCCAATGTAGGATCAGCCCGGCACCGTTCAAAGGTTCTACATCATCTCCAGGCGCCCGGAGCCTAATGCAGGGGCCTTAATACTTAAGGTTTTGAGGTCTATTATACTATAATTATAAAGAGGAACCCCCCAAAATAGTGTAGGTAACTATTACGGCCCCTATACTACACCCCTAACTCTCCCACCACCCCTAGGCCCTAGGCCCTCCTCGAAACCCGGCGTCTTCTAGACCTACATCCCTTTTGAATGCCCAACATAAACCCGGGCAGCGGGCACACCTTGCAAGACAATGTAACAACCTATGCAATATATACCCGCTGCATGCGAAATTTATATCTACAAGACCCAGACAGCCGGATATTTGCCACAATAAACCAGTGAGCTTGCATAATGAAATTACCGGACGTGTTGGATGTAGCCTACGGGTATGGATGGGGTCGCAGTGGCCAGCCTCACTCCAAAGGGTAAAACCTTCCTGGCGAAGGGCCGCTGGTCCTCAATCCTGAATTTAAAGCCGCTCTTGTGGACGACTGGGCTCTTCTGTGAATAGGCGTGCAAGTCCACCTGTTCAGGGGCTCGGGGCTTTGAGAGGGAGCTGCATAGTATATTTTTATAATGGCCTTCATAATTGCCTATACTATTTCTGAGGGTTCCGTATTGAATTATACCATAAAAAGGGCCCCGAAACCCTGTTCTGACTATTAAGGCCCCTATAGTACCCATAACTTGAATCTCCCAGCCCTTCCCCATTTGCAGCACGTACTAGCAAGCGTCGTCGCAATCGTCGTTTGCAGTGGTAGTGGTAGTGGTAATGGTATAGTGGTAGTAGTTGTAGTAGCAGTAGCAGCAGTAGCAGTAGCAGTAGCAGTAGCAGTAGCAGTAGCAGTAGCAGTAGCAGTAGCAGTAGCAGTAGTAGTAGTAGTAGTAGTAGTAGTAGTAGTAGTAACAGTAGTAGCAGTAGTAGTACTAGGAGGAGGGAGCAGTTGTAGTCGTAGTAGTGGTCGTCGTCGTGGTGGTGGTAGTGGCAGTGGTAGCGGTAGCGGTAGTGCTAGCGGTAGTGGTAGGAGTAGGATGAGTAGTAGCCGTCGCTGTCGTCGTAGTAGCAGTGGTAACAGCAGCAGTAGTAGCAGTAATAACAGTACGCGACTACTGCAAATCCTACAAGTGCTAGTGTTGATGGCAAAAAAAACAAATACCAGTGCTCATACTCGTCAAAATACCAATTCCACACCTAAACCTGGACCGAATGCAATGCACCTCAAGCTCTGCAGTGACTCTGCTGACTCGAAAGCCCACTGGGTTGACAAGAAGTCCTGGTTTCTTTACGGCGTCATCGTGTTTCTTGTATTTATAAACTTTATTTTTGTAGCTTTTATGGGGCATAGGCTCTTTATACCTACATGGTGTTTGCTAATGCGCCCAGGCTCGGGATTCGGGGGGTTTGTGCGGGGTTTACGTGGCGAATAGTGGGGCCGGTGGCTCTACATTTTCGCATTACCATAGGGTTTAGGGTTTAGGGTTTGGGGCTCTACTTTTTCGGGGCCTTAACCAATACTGCAGGTAGAACAGAGTCTTGGGACATACTGTAGCTCTGAGTTAGCTAGGCGCCTATAGTAGACAGGAAGTCCATGTTTTAGCTCTGCTGCTTGGCCCACGACACCAAACAAATACTCAAAATGCTGCTTTAAAGGCCCCGGCTGCCCTCCAACCAGCAGCATGATGTAGCAGGCACTGGGCGGATCTCTGATTCACAGAGGGAAAAATTACGATCCATCTTCGTGTAGGAAAATCCGACGTAAGTGAAGAAGCCGGTGTTCGCAATTTTGCAGCACAGATTTTTCTCTTCGCCTTTCACTTCGTGATACCTTGGTGACAAACACGCACAGGAACAACGAAAGCCTTGTGAAGGGGCTTGGAAGGGGAATGCTCGGAAGAAGAAAAGGCATACCAACAATACAGACATAAGAGACTCTAAAATCTACGCCCCATTTGCACCACGAAGCCCAAACGTAGGGCCGGAAGCCGCAAATTTTCAGAGAGGTGCATATTGGTCGTAGCTCTGACGGTTGAGGGTTTAAGGTTTAGGATTTCGGGTTCAAGGTTGTAGGGTTAAGGTTTTCAGGTTCAGGGTTTAGGGTTACGAGGACCCCAATGTAGGGGCCTAAATGGTTAGAATAAGGCTTTGGGGGTATATTGTACTAAAATTACAATACGGAACACCCAAAATACTATTAGTAATTATTCAGGCCCCTATATGGCGCACGGCGATCAAATCAACCCTAAATTCGACACCCATCTCGGTGTCGCCTTTGCTGAGCTTTTAATAGGCAAAGCCTTCACCCGAAGCCTTACAATTGTAAACCCCAAACATACATGGTCTCTTGTTGAGCGCGTCCTATTGGGTCTCGATGTGACTGTTAGCAGATGCCTTCTTGTACGAAGTACTGGAACCGACTAGCAAACCAACACCACGGCACTTAAATCCGAATACTGAACCCTAAATCCTAAACCCTGAACCTCGCCCTAAGCCTAATCATCAAGCATACACGCGACACCCGCATCTCAGACCCGTCAAAGAAGCCATCGTGGGTCACCTTCCTCATCACTCGGGCATTCTGCATCCGACTTCACCTGCATTCAGCTAAAGGGACTATAGCTTTGAGGTTCTGTCGGTCCCTGGGGCGTAGAATGTTTCCGGGTTCATGGCTAAAGGTTCAATGAGATTAGATTTGTCGGGTCTAGCAGAGTTTACCCTCGGTATAGCGTTCTGGCTGGAGGAGGCCCTCAAAAGGGGATTTACCACCCCTTCTGTCCAAGTCTACTTAACCCAGAACGCAAAGCCCATAAGCCCTATACCCTACGCCTGATCTCCCAACCCATGAACACTGAACATCCCCAAGAAGCCCGAAGATGCACAGGAGTCACTCCGGCGTAGATCCTAATCTCTACGCATGCTCCAAGACAATCCTGAACCCTAAACCCTAAGCCCCTATAAACCCAATGGTTAAGGACAGGCAGCCTTCTTGCAGTAGCAGGCGTTGTTCTTGAAGCCAGCCTGTAGCCTGCAGTCTCTATGCGCTTACTACCAGACTCCAGCTTTTTAGGGTTTAGGGTTTAGGGATCGACGCAGCATGCTACTAGCGTTCAAAAGGAGCTTCTGCATCCTTCATGGCGCAACCGAGTCACAAGTCGTCCTTCTCCTTCTTATCGAGTGTGGCCCAAGGTACAGTTTGGATTCCATCGTCCACCAGATGGGCATCCAAGTCGTCTTCCTGAGTCTTGCCTTCCGGCATCCCAATTCCGGCATCCCAACAATATCTACAACGTCTATCTGTAGTCTGCACGACTATGTAACTATAACAACAAGCCATGATTACGGAAGTTAAAATGTTGCCATTGGCGCCCAGCTTCTGTCGCCCGCATGGCGCGCATTTCCGGCGCACGAAGCAGGAAGATGACGGCAAGCATCCGAACCGCCATGGCAGTGATATGGAAAAACTTGGATATCACAAGCAAAGGCCTGTTGCGGACGGCCGTGAGCAAGTCACAGCTGCGGGGGCGACCAGTGAGTGGTTGCGCTGCTGCATCAACACCTGGGTGCACATGTGCAATCGCAGTCTTCCTTAGTTACCAAGATGACTCAAAACTATTTGGCTGGGCTGTCTACAACTCCATATCCTGAACCCTAAACCCTAAACCCTAAACCCTAAACCCTAAACCCTAAACCCTCAATCCCAAACCCCCAGACCCCGGATCCTAAACCATAAATCCTAAACTTAGGCCCTATAAACCCCAAAACCCAAATGTCTCGACCCTAAACCCTAAACCCTAAACCCTAAACCATCAATCCCCGAAACCTCTGCCACGGCGCCTTTTTGTCAATGCGGAGGCTCACAGCACCCGAAAATCTGAAGCCCGTTCTACCTCCCTTTATCTTAGGGGCTGAGAGCCCTAACCTAAAAAAGTTAGGGTTTAGGGTTTAGGGTTTAGGGCTGAGAGCCCTGACCTAAAAAAGGGTAAACCTATCAACTGTGGTAGGATTTTAGGCTTATACAAACCCCCAAAAAGTTAGAGGTTATCTACTCCGCTGCTAAGTTTTTGTTGGGGGTTTAGCCATTTTGATATTTCGGATCCTACAAGCTAACCCCAAAGAGGACATACAAAGACTTTTCAGCCGGAGGACCCTAACCCCCTCTAAACCCTACAACCCTAAACCCCTAAACCCTAAAGCCTAAGCCCCTAAACCCTAAGCCCCGAGCCTTAACCCTCAAGCCTACTGCCCTAGCTCGCGAACACACCTCGCGCTCGAGGCATCGCAGCCCCCGACTGGCTGCCGCTGCATGGGCCTCCTGCCTCAAATGGGAGTTTCCGAAAATAAGCGGGTACCTTCTTTTGGGATCCTTAGAAAAAGGATCCTACTTTTAAGGTGCTATATTAGGGTCCCCTATTTTTGGAAACCCTCATATTCGGCTTATGGTCTGCCCCCGTGTAGGGCTTCGGGTTTACAGGGAGAAGGGCCGGCGAAGATAAGGGTGGATATGGGTTTGTGAGGTGTTGAAGTAGGGTTGCAAGTCGATACCTGCAAGCATGTCTAGACAAGCAAACAAGCCCAAACCATGCAGCTCCACCCGTAATCCCCAAACTGCATGACTCGAACCCCTCCTAAGACCTAGAATGCTCCACCATTTCCACAGATTTCGATGTCGACCTCAGGTCCTACCCCAGAGCCCGAGTAGAAACCTCAAATGTTTTTTTGGGGGTTGGAGGGCATTAATCATTCAAAATCATTCACACAAAAACAAGCATGCATACATACATACCTACCTACCTACCTACCTACCTACATACATACATACATACATACATACATACATACACACCTAGCTCAAGATGTGCTCTTCCGATGTGCTGACACTTTGGGGCTGGAAGAGCGGGT